TTTTTTTTTTTTTTTTTTGATAACAATTTACAACTTTTTTTTTGAACAAACAAAATCAAACAGCCATATATAATACTGAAAAATTTTAATTTGCTCAAAAAGAGCAAGAAAAATGACTGTGGTTCAAAAAAAAATGGAATTTTTTTTAGGACTTTCAAGATTACCGTTTAAAACAAAAAATGAGCAAATTAAAAAACAAAAAAAAATTATTTGACGACCTGTAAACCTGGAACAGTAAAATTACCTCTTAACAAATTCAGTCGGTTTCAGAATTCCTTGTAAAGCCTCTTCAGGTTCTTTTTCTACAACAGTTTAGTTGAGCAGAGCAAAGATGAACAAATAAAGCAACTGAGCGAGAAAAAAAACATTTCGACAATATTCAACATCTTTATTTCATTGTCTTTAGTTGAATGCAACACCACAATAACTTAAGGCTTTTTCAAGCCAAAAAAGAAAAGCAGAAAGGTAACAGCAGAAGAATTTAAGACAATAAAATTATTAAAAAAGTTGACAGTCGCTATAAAAAACAGTTTCATAAATCACTGTTACTAACAGCAACAAAAAAATGAATAGATAAATGAATAAATAATGCAAACTATACCTGTACCCTGTTCCATACGTCTACTCTTCAGCAGTTGGAGATCACTGAAAATGCGAAACTCTGATTCTGAACAAAAAGCCTTTTTTAAACCAATAAAATTTTGTTTCAATTTGCAATAGATGCCTGAAAAAACGGCAGACTATATCAAACTATATTTTTGTTGAAATCGTTAAACTCTCAAAAAAAACTCTTCCCTCCCCGCTCCCTCTTCCCCTCTTCTCCCGCTCCCTCCTCTCCGAAAAAGTTCAAAAGCCAGTCAAAAATTAAGCATATCAAAAATGACTCAATTATCACATTTGATTCTAAAATTTTTTTGTGGTATTAAACAATGAATGTTATATTCCAAAAATCCCTTATCTTTAGCTATCGTTTCGTCAAATATACGTTTATGAAACACACTTATGTTATCGTTTGGTTTAAAATTCAGAAAGTAATCTTACGGTTCATTGTAATAAGTAGCTTCATAGCGATTGTTGAAATGATCAATTGCAGTCTCTACTTTATATTTTTGACGGTTATTATGTGGCTTTGATGCTGGCTGCTTACTGATGCCGTTAAGCCAATGACCGCTTTCTGAAACTTTGCTCAAAAGTGCCCGTAAACGACCCTAAAACAAACGACAAAACATTTTTTCAACGACAAGTTGTAAAGATGACTTTTGAATACATAGAAATGAAACATAATCTACCGCTTTGGCTGCATTGAAAGCCTCTTTCAGACGTGGTATCTGCCAACAGACAATTTGGTACACAGCTTCTTCTGTTTCTCCAATTGATGCATAGTTTCCATAACTGTCTCTGTAATCAAATTCCTCTTTTCCGTACTTTAAAATTTTTGATTGTTCAACTGACAGTCGTAGTTGATCGGCATAAAAATCAACAGATTTGATTTCAGCAAGTGCCCAATGACCAATTAAGTATAGTGGTCGACCTGTAGCTAAAGCAAGTCCAAAGTCCTGAAAAATATTACTGTTTTTGACAGTCTAAACTCTACTGTAAACAGCAGACTTATGCATGAAAAAAAAAAGTTGAAATTTATTGTAGTTATTAGGAGTGATAACGTCGTACGTGCAGTTAAAGGTAGCTAAGCATACTATGATTATGATGCACTTGGATAAAAAGTATTTTTTAATCTTTGGTTACTAACACAAAAAAAAAAAATTTAAATCTGAAAGTTAAGTCCAAATACGCTATTCGCTTAGTTTCTCACACTCGTTGCTGCAAATCTGAAACTTCCTGAAGAACACTTCAAAAAACTTATATTCTGCATTTAAGCACTTACAAACGTAATCTAAATTATAAATCCTCTTAAATTTTAACCCAATTTTTTATCGGTAACTTTTCAGCTTTACCAATTACGATTTTAAATGAAACACATTATATCATATCTCTTCTTCCAAAATCTAAAACAGTTCAAAGATTGTCAAAGATGAAAATTTACAGATAGTCTAAACTGTACTCTATTGTAAAAAAAAGTTCTACATAGTTAGGTATCAGTAGTTTTAAAAACTGAAAAAATATGATGAAAATAAAGCAATGTTTAACTGATAATCTTATCTAAACTATTTTCTGCCATTTTTTCAAGTTTTTAATCAGTAATATTACCCGAAAAATTTTGACTTATTGACAGAAATACAATCATTTTTATTAAATTATTATCAGATGTAAATCTTTGTTTAACCTCAGATGAAAACAGCGCGAATTATTTGGTTTTTTCTAATTTACTACGAACTTTTATTGTTCTGTACAGTTTACTTTAACAAATTTTATAAAGTTCTGATAAAAAATTTAATCAATTTGATAAAGCAAAAATTAAAAATGAAAAAATATACATGAACATAAATGCTGATTTCGCGATTGATACACGAATATGCGAGACTTTTAAATGGTGCCTTAATTAGCTGTCCAAAAAATTGTGCACCTGAAAATAGCAAAACAAAATAAGTGCCTAAAACAATCACTCGTATATTTGTTTTTCTTTTTTTTTTTTTAGTTGGTTATGAAAAAGTTTTCAATTTTTGTTTCGTTTATTTTTGTAAAAAAACTTTTCAATTTTTTCTTAGAATTTTGCAGTATTTATAGTATTAATTTGTTTTACCGTTTATTAAAGTAACCCAAAAAAAAAAAAGAAGGTACCTTAACGAAACTTTATGGATTATAACCAAAAAGGAAAAAAGTGGAACATCTATTTATTTGATTATCTAAAAATAAATTTACTCAGAAAAAAAAGGCAAAAGACCAAAATGAAGGAAACACACAGACAATGAATTTTCAGTTTTCAAAAAATTTACAGCGATAAGGTTCGTTTTGAGTTGGTAACCTTTAGAAAACGCAGCATCAAGCCAACATTCCCACATTGTAAAATGTTCAACGGTCAAAAAAGCCAACGTCAGTACGGTTTTGCTGGTAATTAGCGATAGTGTATTGGATTTTTTACGTAATTCAAAACCTGTAAACACCAATTTGTTTCACAGAAAAAGTTGTCGAATCAACCAGTTACAACAACGAAATCTGCTATCTGTTGACCATTACACTTAACTGGCAGTAATCAAAGAAGTCTTCTACAATTACTCAATAATCCAATAGCTACTGAAGTTGTAATTTCAGGTTTTTTTTTTTTGTTTCTAAACTAAGCGCACGAAATATAAGATTTCAAAAAATTTTACAGATGACAATGAAACAATCAAAAAAAAGGAGTTTTA